GGCGGCAGCAGCGCCGGCCCCGCTCCGCGGCCGCTGCCCGCTCCCCGCCGCGCCCGGCCCCGTCCTCACCTGCGATCTCCTGGTAGGGCACGCTGGCCAGGCTGAAGCCCTTGGCGCTGTACGCCTGCCGCACCTCGCCGCAGCTCCGCGCCTTGCCCTCGGTCCCCGCGGCCGGCAGCACCGGCAGCACCAGCAGCAGCAGCAGCAGCAGGAGCGGCGGCGGCGGCGGCACCGGCAGCAGCGGCCTCCGCCGCGCCTCCGCCGCGCCCCCCGGCTGCGGGGGCGGCGGCCCGGGAGCCCCCCGGCCGCCCAGGCAAACTTTTGCGAGGCGGGGGGGAGATGGGCGCGCACACACACACATGCGCGCACGGCGGGGGCAGGAGAGCGGTAGCCTTGTCCCTCCGGCTCCTTCTCCAAGCGTAGAGCGCTCGCCCCACGCCAAAAGAAAAAAAAAAAAAAAAAAAAAAAAAGAAAAGAAAAAAGGCGGGGGGAAACCCCAAACCAAAACCACAAGCAGATACCCCACAACCAAAAGAAAAAAAGAAAAAAGGCAAAGGAAAAAAAGAAGGTAAAATCTCTCTGAAGCTTGTGAAGATTGAAACCGCGGGCGCGTTGCTGCGAGCGGAGTCCCGGGGCAGCGTCAGCGCGATCCGCCGCGGAGCTGTGCCTGCCGCCTCTGCCCGGCTGGATGGAGACGGTGGGAAAGCAGCCGGCGTGGGGATGGACTGGACAGCGGCTCGGAGCGTGCCTGTGTGCCTCTGTGTGTGTGTGGTGTGCGTGCGTGTGGTGCACTGGATGCGTGTGCCTGTATTTACGGGAGCCGGGGAAACCTCTGCTCCGCGCAGCGCTGGAGCAGCCTCCGGAGCCAGGCAGGGAGAAATCCTGGAGACAAGACACAGCGAGGGAGAGCGGCACATGCACACACACACACACACACACACACACACACACACACACACACACACACACACAGAAACGTGCTACACATTGCATCGCAGAAATCCTGAATATAGGAGCAGAAAGCAAATCCTGGCGTGGATCGCTGTTTGCTGGCAGAAGGAAGGAAAAGCACCCTCAGCCCTGAAAACTTCCTCCTCACCACAAATCCAGCTGCTCCTGGACCCAAAATTACAAATTGCCTGCTAGCAAGACGTCAAAAAGGTACTACTCCTCGGCAGTATTGCTCTCTGTAGTACCAGGGTTAGACTGGCCTCCTTAAATACTTTTTCCCCATTATTGTTTGTTGCACACATAAATAACTGAGCTGACAAGCTAGAATGAGGATTAGTCCATCGTCTAAAGGAAAGAGAAAAGGAAAGGTGTTTCTGTGCATCACACAAAGAATGAGAAAACAAGAAAGATAGTCCTTGACCTGAATAATTCCTGCCAACCTAGGAGAGGTGAGCAGGGGAACAAAACCATAAATTTCCTTTCCGCAAATGAGCATCTGCAAAAAAACTGAATGGGGGAAGTGAAGAAAATTCCTGCAAGGTTAATTTGTCTTGGGTTGGGAGACAGAAAAATAATCTGTAAAGTATTTGGTAGGAAATTCCAAACTTACAGTTTTAAAAGATATTGCAGTGCTTTTTATGAGTACTGTAGAGAAGTGTGATAGCTTGTCCAAAGTATAGAGGGAGATGTGTCAGATACAGGATGAAATGAAGAAGGCCCAACAGAAGAAATAAAAGACCATGATCTTGCAGACTGACTTATCAGTGAGAAGCCACAGAGCAGTACCATAACATATCATAATTCAAGATACTTTCACATTTAGATAGGAATTTTTGGGTGCCAGTGCTGCTGGGGTGTCACATTAGCTGCGGTGTAAGTTCTGGGTCACACCTGGAGTTCTGTGTTCCTCCAGCCTCCCTTCCTGGCTTTACTTCTCCCACACTGTCATTCCTTCTTCTTCCCTCTCCTTTTTCCTCCCATTCCCCAACAGAATGATGCTGCTGTGACACTGCTTGTGCACACAGTGGGTAAGCAGTATTTGTGTGTATTGCAACAGTGTCAAGTGCTATCACTTCCGCCAGAGCACTGGATGCAAGTGAACCCCTCTATAACAACCTACAAATGGAGAGCTCATTTTCTTAACCAGCCCACTACCAATAACAAGCTGTTAGTACATGTTAGTGCCCCGTATCAGTGAAAAGTTAGACATGGTTTGTGTATTTACTGTGAAGAAATATTTTGACAGATCTGTATATAAGATCTCAGGGTGTGCAAGATACATGGAAGATGCACTCAGTTCACCCCAGGACAGGATCAGAAGGGTGTTACAAATGTTAAATTTACCTCATTTCTTCTGGATCGCTCCAACTGTCTTCTATGCTGTGGTCAAAGCCAAGCATTAGTTTACCACATATTGAGCATGACACACTCCCCCACAATCCAATCTTCAGCATTTCTCCAACCCACAGGAAAGTCAGTTGACACAGATTCAAATATGCAAATAAAAAAATCAGCAAACTGTTTTGAAGTGCACAAATCATCATAAAAGAGCAAAAGAGATCCTGTGATTAATTTAGAGATGTCTCTAGGTAATTGTTTTGTAAGAAAAATGTAAATCTGCCAGAAAAAAAATGCAGCATGTTCACTCCTGCATTTTTTGCAAATACCGGTTTAATTCATGCCATTGTTAGTATAATTAGACTTTTACATAAGGCAATGACAGCATGATCTAACCTTTATATAACGTGGGAAACTTGCTATGGGAAGGTCAGGCTCAGTTCCACCTTTGAATCCTGCCTCAGATGCAAATGGCCTAGACAGCCAGTTGTGTTGTAGTCCTGAATGTGGAAGGAATGCCTGACTCTCCAGGAGCTCACATTTAAACACGGGTATTTTTTTGGCTTTAACAAATCTCCTACTCATCACATTGGAGAATCATTTTGTGTTCTCAATATGCTTGTAATTAATTTTCTACCAAGTGGAGGAGCTCCAAAGAAAGCCCAGGTTGGAGTGCACTCTAAGCCAGTGGCTTTAGCAATCACTTAGAAACATAACACCTTCTGCCAGGCAGATCATAGGCATGAGCTAAAAGCTCTCCTATTTCAGGACTCACAGGAGTCCTGAAAGGAGAGGACTGTTTGAGGTGGCCGCATCATATTCATCCTTTTCCAGCTGAACCACATAAATAAAACCATCAAACTAGTGTGTTTCACAACTCATGACAAGATCTCTAACTTTGTTTTAAAGCTTTCCTTCCTTCCTCTGGACATGGTGATTAGCGTCTTCCAACTTAAAGCATTCTCTGGCAGAGGTGGACTTGTTCTTGAGTTGCTGTGCATCAGTGATGGAGCTTAGACTGCTAAGTTGTTGGGTAAAATGTTGGCTTTTCCCACATTAATTTTGGGTAGGAACACTTTTCAACAACTCAATTCATTTGCATAAGCATGAAAATAAACCTTTTATTTTAGTCATATGGAATATTTTGATCACCGGGGAAAGTTTCTGCGTCTTTTGTATTTTTCTGGAAAGATATAATAGCACTTAAAAATAAATTTTTAATAGTTTTCATACTTGGCAGTCAGACTGAATTACTGTCTTGGAGAGCCCCCTTCATCAAACACATTCAATGTGGTAACATAGATGATTGCTTAGAATGAAGACTTTGCAATGTATCTGCTGGCCACGTTTACCACAAGTGGGCTTTTTTTTTCTCAAGTTATTCCAAATAGGTGTTCATTCATTTCAAGTTCTACCAATTGATTGTTTTGCAAAGTTTATCCTAAAGATCTGCAAAAAGTATAGAAGACATGATTTTTAACCTTTGTTTTCAAACACTTACATAAAAAATGAATTAAAACGAATCATTCACACCCAATCATAATAAAAACATCAACTGAAAGTGGAACAGCAGCCAACATTATTTCCTTCATCCACTGGAATACTACACATCATGTGGCTGAGACAGTTTCGTGGCATGCAGTAAAGGACTTACAGAACCTCTAAACAATAAGGAAAAAAATCTCATGTGGCTGAGACAGTTTTGTGGCATGCAGAAAAAGGACTTACAGAACCTCTAAACAATAAGGAAAAAAATAAGTATTGAATTGCTGCATCATTTGCAAAGCAGCATTCATCTTGAGCTCCAAACAATTCAAGGACATGGTGGAAAAACACGATTATAGATCTTAAATGTTTTAGTGTGTAGTACATAGGTATGAGATTGAGATTGTACAAGGAATTTTTGCTCCTTTTTTCATGTTTTTGAGTTATTTCCCTTTAGAAACAGGATAAATGATGTTACTTTGAAAGATACACTGATTTATTTTCAGGTGTTATCAAAAAACTCTCCTTGTTGTCATGGGTATTAAGGGGACTGCATAGACAAAAGCATCTTTCACCTGACTTGACAATAAAGCTTTGGCAAATGTCAAAACGCTCCATAACTCAGCTTCACAAAAAAGAGAAGCTGATTTCTCCATTCTCCATTAAACCTATGCACTCAGTAGATTTGCAGCTTTCACATAATGGATTTTTAGCATTAATGTTTCACTGGTTGAGGAAATAATCAGTAAGATTCTCAGATGTCTGACAGAATTCCTGTTGGGGAAATGGCTCTGACATTCCAGTTATTTCTGGGGCAAACGACGGCCTCTGTACACAGCACCAGCCCTGCACCATTGCAGCTGCTCTGGGGATGGGAGGGCTTTTAGGATCTTGCCTTAATTTTAGGTGAAGATCCATCCACACACAGGTTGCCAAAGTATTTAGAGAACAGAACACATCCTTGATATTGAGGACCAAGTCACTCACACTCTAGGCTTTGCACACCAAAAGGGAAATCCAAACATGCTCGTTTTACCATGAAGAGAGGTATGAAGGCACTTGGTTTTTTTAGGTCTACAATGTCTGCTCCAAGTGGATGTTGTTCTTTAAAAGTCCAGAAATGATTAGCTGCATAATAATGAGGTTGAAACTGAGCTATGAGTTTATCCCAGTAAAACTTACCAAAAAGAAGTTCAATGAAGGCATACATTGCAGCATCAAAAGGTGCCTCTTAACTGTTCATGTTCTGTCCAGAGCCTTCATTGAAAAACTTTCTCCATATAGCAGTCTGTGCTAGAAGGTGAAACTTTAGGTTTTTTCTTTGTACTGATTGGTGTTTGCTGCAAAATTAATGCAAAGCCCAGTTGTTTCCAAGAAGTGAGCTCCAGAGGCACAGGTGTGAAAAACTCATCTTTCTCTAGAAGTTGCACT